ATAGAGAAGAGAGGGAAACAAAAATAACAATGTAGCTGAGTCACGATCCCTGCCCTGTGAAGCTGCAAGGGTTTAATCCCTGCCCTGAGGCAGCGGCAAACTATGGCTGTGTTTAGAAAAAGCCACTGCGCCACTCTCCAAGACTGTGGGGGGATAGAGAGAAGAGAGGGAAACAAAAGTAACAATGTAGCTGATCCCCCAAACCTGACCCTGGAACTGCAAGAGTTTAGTCCCTGCCCCAAGCAGGCGGCACAAACTGTGGCTGTGTTGAGATTAAGCCCTAGGGTGGGCTCCAAATGGTCCCGGCTCCAGCTGAGACAGTGACAGGGCTAAGATCAAGCCCTAGCCGGCCTCCACTATGGTAACCCAAAAGCCCCCAGCCCCTCAAAACCTTGTGGGTCTGTGCTTACGTATCTTTATGATGCTCCTTCTGCATTCCAGCAGTGATGAATTTCCCTCTAAGCAACTCTCCTGGGCTGAATTCTGCAGAGTCCCTCTAGTATGTGTTACTCCGTTGCCATCTTCCCGGAAGTCAGCCTATGTGTTTTTATGATATGAAGTTGTATCATTGTTTGCTTAAATCATATTAGATCATGGCAATTTTCTATCCCATTTTAAACAACTTGTGCACATTTGAAAAATGTTTTTAATGTTTTAATGTTGTTAAGTGATTTCACAATAGAACATCATTTGAAATCATCGTAATGTATCTATCCACTCTTCTATTGTTCTACATTTATGTTGTGCTAAATTTCCAACAGCTACATAAATGAAATGACATTTTATTCTGTTTGTTTCTTCTGGGACTACCTGGGGGTAGAGTGGGGGGAATCTGATAGATTTTGAACAGACTTGAAGCGTATGTTTGGGATAACTGGAGTCAAAGTACAGGTTGTGCATAATAGGGCATGTTCATATTGAGGAGTCTCATGAGTCTTGATGAGCAAACATCTTTGAGGGTAACTGAAATAAAAATAAAGATCCATGGAACTCCAAACAGTGGACTGTAAGAGTGTGGACAATCATATTTTGACACAACAGAAAACACGCACAGTGGTTACCATTTCTGTGTCCCCGGTGGAAATGTGCAAAAGCATAGAAACCTCATCACTACTGATGTACAATCCAACCATTTTTTATGACAATAGCTCTAAGAGGTATCCCAAGGGCATTACTGTCTAATAGGATTTTATAATGATGGAAACTTAGAATATCCATTGTTAAACATTAGGGACAAGAAGCAGGCCACAGATAAGTAAAAGGATTGATTAGGCTATCAATCATTATGTAGATATTGATCCATTCTTTCTTCTTACTCTCAAATCATCCACCACCCTGATGGCAACTACCTGAGTTTCCCCAGGATCTGTAGCCTTATGAAGTCACTTTTTCATTCAACTATTTAAAAGCATAGTTTGAGCTCTTATACCACAGATAATAGGAGTCTTTTCTTTCTTTGGTTTTATTGGCACATAATCCACATGATATAATTTAATCGTTAACAAGAGTCTTAATGTTCTTTTGCTATCGCTGAGAACTCTAAATGTCTCCAACTTAATTTAAAAAAACAAACATGTGTATCTCTCCTCCCTTCTCTGCAACCAAGACAAAAGGCAGCACTTTCCTTTTTGTTCACTCACAGCCCTTCGCTAGTTGGGTCTAATTGAACTGACTCAAGATTTAGCAGTGGGCCCTTGGGCTCCAGGATCTTGCCCTCCTCCCATAGTCTTTAGCTATGATTTTTAATCATCCTTTGCTAGTCTATCCCATCAGAAGTTCAAATTTTCTCCCCATTTTAGCTGAACAATTCAGTTTTCTCTTTGATCATTATGCACTCTGGTCATCTATTGTGGGTTTCTTCTTTATACCTACAAAGATCAAGATACATAATCAAATCTTGATGATCTCCCCTTTAAAAGTGGAATCTTTCATCCACTTAACATAATAAATATTTCACCCACCCAGTCAGATCATGTAAATATGATTGGTATAAATGCAGATTATCCATAATATCAGTCTTGGTTCACATTCTTCTATCCCCCCATGTTTCTAATCTGTTGACCACCTGTTCACATTAATCTATCATCTCTTCGAGGGACTTAGAACTCTATTTATGTAAAATTTCTTTCTGTCTGTCCCCCATGTAAAACTTTCCTAAAAAAACCTAAACAAACTCACTGCTGTTAAGTAGATTTCAACTCATAGTGATCCCGTGTGTCAGGTAAAACTACCCCTGTGAGTTTCTAAGACTATAACTTTTTTTACAGGAGGAGAAAGCCTTATCTTTCTCTGCACAGGGCCTGATGGTTTCAAACTGCGAAAATTGGCAGTTAGCAGCCCAACACATGAAGCTTTCAGAGATCCATGTGAGAGTTGGATGTTGAAAAAGGAAGACTGAAGAACAATCGATACCTTTGAGTTGTGGTGCTGGAGAAGCACATTGAAAGTCCCGTGGACTGTCAAGAACAAACACATCTATCTTGGAAGGAGTAGAGCCAGAATACTCCTTAGAGGCAAGGGTAGTGAGTCTTCCTCTCCCAGACTTTGGACATAGTATCAAGCGAGACCAGTCCCTGGAGAAGGATATCGTGTTTGGTAAAGAAGAGGGGCAGCACCATCTTCACAACTGTTCCTATGTCTGAGCTCACGGTTGCAGCCACTGTGTCAATCCATCTCCTTGAGGCTCTTCCTCTTTTTCATCACCCTTCCCCTTTACCAAAAAACGATGCCTTTTTAGGGACTGGTCTTTCAACAATATGTCCAATGTATATAAGACAGTCTTGCCACCCTTGCCTCTAAGCAGCACTCTGGCCATACTACTTTCAATACAGATCAGTTTGTCCTTCTACCAGTCCATGGTACTTTCAACATTCTTCTCCAGCCCCTCAATTCAAATTCATCGATTCTGCTCTGGTCTTCCTTATTCAGTGTCCAACTTTCACACATGTATGAGAGAATTGAAAATACTATGGCTTGGGTCAGCTGTACTTTCATCCTCAAAGTATCATGCTTGCTCGTCAATATTCTAAAGAGGTCTTATGCAGCAGATTTACCTAATGCAATTCATCTTTTGATCACTTGACTCCTACTTCCATGAGCATTGATTGTGAATCCACCAAGACAAAGAACTTCAACCTTTTCTCCGTTTATCATGATGTCACCTATTGGTTCTATTATGAGGATTGTGGTTTTCTTTACACTGAGTCATAATTCATACTGAAGGTTTTTTAAATTACTGAACGTAATTTGTAGGGTTAGAAGGATAGGCCAAGTTTTTAAAAATATCTATTTAAAATACTCCTACACCAAAGGCATATATAGAGGTCTAAATAAAGGCATGTACATATGTAAATATATTTATACATGAGGATGTGGAAATAGATTTATGTGCATATATGTATAGGGTTAGTATTAGCAGATGGACATTGGGCCTTCACTCAAATACTCCCTCAATTCAAGAACACTTTATTCTATTAAACTGGCATTCCATGATGCTCACCTTCCTGACACAATTGCTGAAGACAAAGCGGGTGCATAAGCAAATGTGGTGAAGAAAGCTGATGGTGCCCAGCTACCAAAAGATATAGCATCTGGGTCTTAAAGGCTTGAAGGTAAACAAGCAGCCATTTAGCTGAGAAGCAACAAAACCCACATGGAAGAAGCACACCAGTCTGTGCGATCACGAGGTGTCAAAGGGATCAGGTATCAGGCATCATCAGAACAAAAAATCTTATCATTGTGAATGAGTGGGAGTGTGGAGTGGAGACCCAAAGCCCATCTGTAGGCAATTGGACATCTCCTTACAGAAGGGTCGCGGGGAGGAGACAAGCCAGTCAAGGTGCAGTGTAGCAATGATGAAACATACAACTTTCCTCTAGTTTCCCTCCTCCCCTCCCCCCCTCCCCCCCCACTATCATGATCCCAATTTTACCTTACAAATCTGGCTAGACCAGAGGAAGTACACTGGTACAGGTAGGAACTGGAAACACAGGGAATTCAGGGCAGATGATCCCTTCAGGACCAGTGGTGAGAGTGGTGATACTGGGAGGTTGGAAGGAGGGTGGGGTGGAAATGGGGAGCCGATTACAAGGATCTACATGTGACCTCCTCCCTGGGGGATGGACAACAGAAAAGTGGGTGAATGGAGACAGACAGTGTAAGATATGACAAAATAATAATTTATAAATTATCAAGGGTTCATGAGGGAGGGGGAGCGTGGAGGGAGGGGTTAAAAATGAGCTGATGCCAGGGGCTTACAAATGTGCTTTACACAATTGATGTATGTATGGATTGTGATAAGAGTTGTATGAGCCCCTAATAAAATGATTTAAAATAAAATAAAATACTCCTACACCATCCTAACAATGATTGCTCTTTATTTTAGGCAGGTAAAGTTTTACCGATCGGAAACAGAGTTGCAAGCTGTTTGACTGAAAAACTTCCCCGGGTGAGCATTGTCAACATTCATTTGTGCTTATTTCTATGATTTTTATTCTAAATAAGACAACCTCAGTTTTTCTTATAAAAACTGTATAAATATTTAACGTGGTCAATTTTGATTTAGCGTATTTTGAGGTCTTCTATTGCTTTTGTTTAAGGGAGTTGCAATTCCAAGCTTAATATCTCCCAGTTTTATGGAAACTATCCTGTTTTCTAAACAGTCTTTAAAAAATACAGTTTGTTTCCACAAGTACATTTTAGGAAGTTGTTTTATTGGGAGCTCTAGTAGCCAGTGCACTTTCCACAGACATAGAATTAAGGGTATTTATGACTGGTATGGACCAATCTGACTCATAACCACCCTTTAGGAGAGAGCAGAACTGCTCCTGTGGATCTTCGAGGCTGTTCAGCTTTACAGGTATGGTACACCCATAACAGGGACTGCTATGGCTGTGGGTTTTAAAGTACCAACCTCATGCCTTACTGGGCAACACTATGCCCCCAGAACTAAGGTGGCTATGAGTTGGAATTGACTTGATGGTAGTGAGTATCGGTAAGCTTTTAAAATATTTTAACAATTGTACTTTATCTAAATCAGATTGATCGCAATAAGATTCTGACAATTTTCTTGCCTCATTGTAGCTCATGACACCACCCGAAGTAAAAAAGTTTTTAAACTTCAGATATGCACCTGCTGGAGCGGAAAGAGTATTTTATGGCAGAGCAAATGATCCCCAAATTGCTCCTAATTTAACACATGGCATAAAATCGAAACCTTCAATACAGGTAACTGGTTTTCCTTTTACTTACCACCACTGTCCATGAACTTGCCGAGGTGAAAATACACAAATGAGATATTGGTGAGATTCATCTCCTTCCTGTCCTTCCATTTACTAGTCTTTGCTCAGTCGGTCCCCGAAGTATTAATCTTGAGCAGTGAAAAAAAAACCCAACAACAACAGGGAATGGCAAAAACAGTGTAGAGAAGCCAGTGGTTTAAGCCCTAAACTAGATATTCTTTCTGTTAGTTAATAAGCGACCAGTTGCATTCCATTTTGACCAGTTGCATTCCATTTTCACATAGTTTGAGAAATACCGTCAAGCTGCGTTTAACAATAAAGATTACATTCTTTATTGTAAATAAAGATTACACTCTTTATTGGAGACTTACTCTTGCCTATCAAAACAATATAGTGTGGCTATATAGACCTAGATGGCAAGGAGGTAGACTCAGCATGTTCCTGATTCTTTTAGTATGTGTGCTGCCGAAGCAAGCACCATGTTCTCTATTCTTTTTTTTTTCCCCCTCCTACCCCGCTCCATCCCCCCCCCCTTCTCTATTCTAATGGCAGGAAAAATCCGTGTATTTGGAGTGAACTGGTGTCATTCCCAATCGTCTGGAATATTTTGTTCAGTGATCCATGGGGTGCTGCCATAAACTATGAATCCTGTAGAAAGCACATGTGAAGGTCAATGGATGCATGAGCCTCTCAGCACCCACTCTGACAATTCATTTGGGGATGAGAAAAATGAATAATGATGACTACATGTTTTCCCACAATCATGTATTCTTTCTCCTCAGTGAATGACTGAGGCTACGGTTTTCAGATTTGTAATTTTTCACGGGCATACTTCCTCCCCCTATTTCTTTAGGCAAGAATGTTGATCAATCCACCGCCAGTGACCACATTTCAACAGAAATTGAAAGATAAGAAAGAATCTGTGTACTTTAGCAGTCGACGAGCACCGTTGGGAAAATCTCATGACCAAGCACCCGGATTACCTAAAGGGATGGATATAATCAACACGACCTTTGGAACCTCAGTCATCAGAGGTAGCAAAAACATAAGTGGTGTTGAAGGGGAGGTACAATGAATTTTGGAAAATAGGATAAAATATTCTGCTGATCTAGTGTTTGGAGAGTTATGTATACAACTGTAAATGATGATTCTTGAATAAAAGTTTGGATTACAGCAAGACAGTCAATTTTGGATTCGGAATCCTAAGCATTTCCCTGTGTCAAGGAAGTAACAACTCTGACTTTAGAGCAGGGATTAATTAAATACAGTAGAGATGGTGTAAAGACTGAGAGACTGGGGAAAGTTGACATGGGCCCAACTGTGAAGACTACGATTTCTTTTTGGTCATCCAGTTGTGTGTTGTATTTCTGCTATTCTTCTGTGTTCATAACTTTCTATTTCATACAGTATACCATGGACACATAAACTTGATAAATGTTGTACAGCATACTCCATACTACAAAGATCCATAACACTTGGATAGTATCCAAACACCAGGGAATGTTTATGGCCGGTATCCACTGCAATTTGGAAGGAGAATAGAGCATATGTTGCAAAAAAGGACCATCTAGAACAATATTGCTTACAGGCTATTCCTTTTTCCTAAGGCCCCAGCCTCCTACCATGTTGTTAGGTACCCTTTTCTACATCAACCTCGCAACACTTTCGTACTACCCTTCCAAGTCTCTCACCTTCTTCCTCCAAGGGGGAAGAACCAAAAGCCATGTTTTCTTGACCTTGAAAAGAAATTAAATCCTTGCTTTGGATTATCACATACATTAAATTTCTGCACCAGGAAACTTAACTTTTTTAAAAAAAGTAGGTCGACTAGATTCTTTTCCTTACCATCTACCCTGGGGATAGTGTGCTACTCCCCTAGAATGCTGAATCTGCAGTTGTAACTTATTGCATCTGATCTAAATTGTCATGAATTTAAGACATCTGAGAGATGTTAACATTTGAAACATCAGAAAATGTATTTTAGAATAAAGTATCTTTTTCTTTTCTTTTCCATAGGAAGACTAAGCAATCTTATTTATGTAAATTGTTAGTAGATATGATATGGTAATTACAGCCATTATATTATAATTGTTATCTAGGATCAGTTTGTTTTAAAATGGAAAGTACTTTCTAGGTGTATTTTTAAGTATATACTAGAAAGAATGCTTCAAACTATATGTGTGTTTATTAATAAGAGTAGTGGATTAATATTCCCAAAAAGAAGTACAGCTTTTGTTACATTATTTTAAGTAGGATTGCTTTCTGGTATTCCTTTTTTTTTGGCTTTCTGGTATTCTTAACTTTGTTCACAGGCCTCTATGTCTTTGGGATAAAGGCTGAATGGAAGGAAAATAATGTTAATCTATGGTGTTAGGTGCCAATCTTGTTGACAAGGGAAGAATCAAACTGTAAAGGATGGTACATTTAAATATTATGCAACACAATGAAAACAAAATAATTCACATACTGAAAACTGGGAACCACAAGTTATGGGACAGTTAAGTTGTTGTACAATCATTTGATGATTCTAGGATATGAATCAGTAGAATGAAGAATGTCTTCCCGATTCCAAAGAGTCCCCTGATATCTTTGGCTACATTGAGGATGGAGAAGTTCAGATGAAGGTAGTCCCAAGGCATGTGGTCCAATATAGAACTGGCAATGTTTGCCCCATGACTAGTCCTTGGAGCATTAGGGGTTCCGTGACTGATTTGTGATTCAAGCCTGCTTAGGTCATTTGAGAAGTTTGGAGGAAATGAGAACCAAATTTGCTCAGAGAGTCTCAGGATCAAGAATAAGTGGGCTTGCTGACACCGATCCCCGTTAGTGTTCAGAATGCTAGAGAGAGAGTGAGGTCCGGTGGAAGTCTCTAACACAGTGTCACAAGGCACTGTCCTATCTTTTTAGACAAGCTCCAGTTATGTTGGCTTCATGATCTCCTAGGGCAGTGGTTCTCAACCTTCCTCATGCTGCGACCCATTAAGACAGTGCCTCATGTTGTGATGACCCCCCCCAACCATAAAATTATTTTCATTGCTACTTCATCACTGTAGTTTGCTACTGTTATGAATCGGGCGGCCTCTGTGAAAGGGTTGTTTGACCTCCAAAGGGGTCTCGACCCACAGGTTGAGAACTGCTGTCCTAGGGCGTCAGCATGGCTTGGCCAGTCAGCACACTCTACTTGTCATTTATTCTAGTCCATTTAAATACATTATAAATCAATAGAAAGTAACTGAAGCCTATTAACTTTCATTAATTCTTCCGCCAGAATTATCTGCTAAGGAGGTGGTGAATCCACCAAAATCTTATAAAGAAGTATTAAATGATGGAAAAGAAGGCCATGAGCTGTATGTTGTTTCGCACAATGATTATTATGTGGGTAAGTGTCCTCCAGTGTAAAATACTCACCGCTCTGCCTTTGAGTCCATGCTCGGTTTTCGGTAAGGACCACCGTACACATATTGCACGGTGTGCATGTAGCGAGTCAGGTAGATGCAGATAGAATGTCAGAGAGACGACGTTCACATGCTACCTGGTCTGTTGACTAGCTTTCACACCTCAGGCAATTTCCTTACCTGATTATCACCTCTTCTAATTTCTTACCTGGGAAGATAACGGTACTGGGAATCCCTGAGGAGTGCAAATGGTTAAAGCGTCCAGTTGTGAACCAACAGGATGGGCTGTTCAAGCCCCACCCACTCAGAAGACAGAAGTGGTGATCCGTTTCCCCCCAAATCAACCATTGAAAATTGTATAGAGCGGCATTCTACTCTCTCACACGTAGGTTTGCTAGGAGGTGGAGTTGACTCAACAGCCCAAAAGACTGTTGTGAAGATTAAATGTGTGCACGGAGAATGCTTAGCACAGTGCCTAGAACTCCAGAAGTATCAGCTAGTATTACTATTAAATGATCTTGTTTAATAGTAAGATATTACTAGAATTATTCTATACTAACTACCATTGAGTCGATTCCAACTCACAGTGGCCTTCCAGCATCATGAACAAACATTAGGTGCGTACTCAAAACCACTCACTGCCCTGGATTTCAGTCTGATTTATAGCGATACTGTAGGGCAGGGCAGAACTGCCCCTGTGGGTTTCGGGGCTTCACATCTTTACCGGAATAGACAGCCTCATTTCCTCCCCCTTGGAATAGCTGGTGGATTTTTTTTTTTAATTGGGGCTCATACAATTCATCACAATACATAGATCAATTGTGTAAAGCACATCTATACATTTGTTGCCCTCATTATTCCCAAAATTCGCTTGCCTCTTGGGTTCCCGGAATCCGCTAATCTTCCTTTTTTTTTCGTCCCCCTCCCCTTCCCTTCCTCCTCCCCTCTCCCCCATGCACCCTTAATAATTTATAAATTATTATTGTATCTTATATTACACTGTCCGGCGTCTCCCCCCACCCACCCCTCTTCTGCCTGTCCCCCTAGCTGGTGGATTTAAACCACTGACCTTGTGATTAGCAGCTCAGTGTGTAGCCCGCTATACCACCAAGGCATAAACGAAGTGCCATGAAGTTGATTCTGACAGTGTGTCCCTGTAGGATAGAGTAGACCTGTCCCTGCAGATTTCCAAGACTAACTCTTTATGGGAGTAGAAAGCAACATCTTTTCTCCTCGGAGTGGCTGGTGCTTTTGAACTGCTGACTTTGTGGTCAGCAGCCCAACTTGTAACCCACTATACCACCAGGGCTCCTTTGGATGCTTCTAGTGCTGTAAAATAAGACTTCATTGCTGATTCGTTGATGATAGTAGAGCCGTGATGCTATAATAGACTGCTGACCGTGAGACTGGTAGATGTCCTGACAATGAAAAAGGGAAGACCGCATTTGAATTATGGTTTTGGTGAAGGTATGGATGGCACTGTGGATTACCAGAAGAACAAACAACTATGTCTTAGAAGAAGTACAGCCAGAATGCTCCTTAGAAGTGATGTGGTGAGGCTTAAGCTCGTGTACTTTGGACTTGTTTCTAGGAGAGATGAGTCGCTGGACAAGAAGACCGGGTTCGGTAAGGTAGAGGGTGGGTGAAAACAGAGAAAGATGGTCAAGCAGATGGAGACGGTGGCTGCAGTAGTGAGCTGCAGTGAGTACGGCACAGGACCAGTCCGTGTTTTGTCCTATTGTACACAAGGTTGCTATTAGTTGGAGCTGCCTCAACAGCACTTAACAACAATAGCAGCAGCATCACCCACTACCTCCACTACCACTAACTACAACAACATGTATACCGATGATTCATGAACTTTGTCTTTATTATCTGGAAACAAGAATTAATTACTGCAGTGCAACACCTCTCTCTCTCTTTTGCTTTAAATTGTGGTAAAATATGCATAACGCATTTGCCAATTCAACATTTTCCCATGCAATTTAGTGATAACATTTGGATAACATTTATGTTATCTCCTCTCTGATTTGTTTCTTCCACAGTCCTCTCACACGATACTCCCTCTTTCTGATCACAGCAAGGGCTCCTCTCTTACCGCCATTGCTTCATCTCTGGGAATCTGCCATCAGTCTCTGCTGATTGCAAGTCTGAGATCGTCTCCCCGCCCCCTCACATTCAATTGGCTGCTGCCTGCGCTCACTCAGGCAACACCTTCTGGCTCACTACCTTGACTTCTTTCCTTATCTCTAGCCCTCCACAATGCCTTCCTGCCCATGCTACCCCTTCCCCTCTCCCTTAATTTCATCCTCCCTCCCTTCCTTTGCACCCCCTTCTCCCTCCCTTCTTTCCTCCCTCTTCTTCTTGTGAAAATATTTCATATGTGTGTTTTTTTAAAAAAAATTAGCTTCTGGTGTTCAGCTTATCCAAACACTTAATTATTTTAAAAGACGCTCTATCAATAGATGGTTGATACTTAATAGCTGCTTCAAGAAAGAAAGATGAGGCTGTCTGCTACCTTAAAGAGCTGCAGCCAGAAGCCCTATACAGGGTTGCTGTGAATTAGATGCTGTGAATTAAATCCATGGCCATGGGTTTGGCTTTATATGCGTTTAACAATATGAGGAAAATTATTATAGATTTTATTTTCATTTGTCAGAAGAACACTCATGGGTGACAACATAACTGACATTACCTTGTTTGGTTGGTTTTTAGGGAAGTTTCATTAGCTTCTTGGAAAGTCATAGGATCTCATCTTTTTATTATTGTGCTTATTTTATTTTCATAATGAAAGTGGTTTTTATATTGTAAAACATGTCATTGTTAAAACCATAAATACCTTTAAACGTTATAGAAAAAACTTGACATGCCATGAGTCAAAGAGAATGACAGTTGATTTATTGGTGAACATCTTTCTAATCCCCATCCATTACACTATGTACCTCCAGATAAGTGGGATCATAGTTTCCATGCTTTGAGGGGGGTGGTGGTGGTGGATACGCGATATGCTACATTTTAAATCATTTTACTGACAGTAAAGAGCCCTGGTAGTACAGTGGCAATGTGTTTAGCTGTTAACTGAAAGGCTAGTTGCCATCACATGAATTTTCACTCCTAGTGACTTGGATAAACTCACTTCCATGAAGTCAAGTAAGCCTCACAATGACCCGAGAGGGCACAATAGACTTGCCTCCATGGGTTTCTGAGGCTGTAGATCTTTACTGGAGCAGAAAGCCTCGTTTCTTTCCTTGGAGCAGCTAGTGGTTTTAACTGCTGACCTTAAGGTCAGCGGCTCAGCACGTCATCCTATAAGCTACCAGGGCTCTTTAGACAGGACAGTATAAAAAGGCCCATAGGCTTTCCAAGGCTGTATCCTTCACAGAGGTAGCCCATCAGATCTCTCATCTGTAAAGCTGCTGGTGAGCTCAGACTATTGAGGAACCACCACGAACACCCCCCACTTTGCCCCACCTTATGGTGAGCAGTCAAGCATTCACCACGGCAATGCCAACGCTCCTCCATGAAGGCTACAGCGTTGGAAATCCTACAGGACAGTTCTCCTCTGTTCTATAGGCCACGTGAGTGGAAGGGACTTGACAGCGATGGGTGGGTTTACTGAAAACTATATGTCAGCCCTTCATTGAATAGCAATTATATATAGATTTAAAACATCTTGAAAAGCCACATCGCTTACATCACTACTAAAGTAAAGTTTTAGAAAATAACTAATTATTAAAATGTTGTCATATTTTTATAAATTAAAAGCTATATGGAAATCTATGTGAAGGAAATCTCCCATGGTTTCAAATTTCCACAGATGACACTGCTGGTAAATCTTCTTCATCTAGGGAGATGCGCATGCATGTCTGTGTGCTGGGTCCACATTATGTTCATGTCTTTTCCATCTTCACTGCTTTTCATGGTGGCGTGAAGGTTAACTACTTGACAGTTTATGAAAAAGTTGGCAGTTCAAACCCACCCACCACCACCTCTGCAGGAGTAAGACCTGGCAATTCTCAAATTATTCACAATTTCAACCTGGGGAACCCTATGGGGCAGTTCTACTCTCACTTCGGGTCACAGTGAGTTGAAATTGAATCAAAATCACCTAACACACACACACACACACACTCTCTCTCTCTCTCTCACACACATACACTCTCTCTCTCACACACATACACACACACTCACACACATACACACACACTCACACACACACACTCTCTCTCACACACATACACACACACTCACACACATACACACACACACACTCACACACACACACACTGCCATTTTCATCAGTAATTATATCATGTTTTCCATGGCTACAAATTGCATATATATAAATAAATTAAAAAAATCTGCCAACTCCTTAGGATACATTCCAAAAGTTCTAAATTTTCCAGCTTAACTTTTCACACTTAAATTCACTCAATTGGAATTTTCACTCTTAAAGCCAAACTGTGGTTTGAACACCCACTGCCTCCAAGTCCCATTTGACTCACGGGACAGAATAGAACTGCCCCGGAGGGTTTTCTCCTCTGTCATTTTTAAGACAGTAGTCTCTCTCTCCCATGGAGCTGCTGGTGGGCCCAGACTTCCCAGTTAGCAGGGAAGCACCGCCATTACTCACACCGTGGACACGAGTTTCCATTTCCCCACGCCCTCGTCGCTGCATTTTGCCAATCTTACTGATCCTTGCATAGCTGACTGGTAATGTATGATTCATTATTGTTTTTATTTGGCCTTAAATTACTAGTGAGGCTAACTCGCTTTTCTCCATTTCTTACTCTGTCAGCCATTCTCTAGTTACCACCCTATGTTTTATCTAGAAATGGAAAACACTGCAGCATGACTCCAAACACAAACAAAAATAAACAAGCAACAACAACAACAAACAAACAACCTCAGTCAGAATCAGAGCTTTAATGTTCAAGACCTCACTGTTAGGCTTTCCACCCTAAAGACTCCCTTTGAATGTTTCTGATAGGAGATAAGTGATTCAATTAAAATATGAAGGTTGCCGCCTGCTGATGGCGTCACCAACTCCCCCTAGGAGCAGTTACAAAGCCCCAGCCTCCCACCCTGAGCATCGTGGCAAGGACTGCTGAGTCCCAAAGCCTTGCTGTGCCTCTCCCCATCACCAGGATTTCTGGAATCGCGGCCCGTGCTTTTTCTCGTTCTTTTCACGTCTTTCTCTGATAATCCTTTCCCTACTTTCTTTCCAAACTGTATCATGAGGAACTCTTCTGTACAGGATCCCAGCCAATTCCCAGCTCAGACGCCTTTGCCCTCCCTGGCCAAACCTGTGGGGTACGCTGCACTGCCACCATGCCATTCTTGATCAGACTCAGACTTTCAGCAGCAATGGTAGCACAACGTGCTTCGTGCAAGATACAGTTGTTTGTGTTCCTTAACTCCGAATTCTTCCTTTTATTCATAGGGGAAGCAAAGAACAGAAAATATAATCCATCGAGTTTCCATAGGTTTAATTTGTATGGAGTTCCAACCCCACATTTCAATGACGGGCGACACATGGCGAAAACCTTATATTGGCTCCACGAACTACAAATGTAAGTTTACCTCTAGGGTGCCCTGGGACACGTGTTCGCTATTTCACAGATGGACTACAAGAAAAACTCATTTTTTAAAAAAAATTCAACTTTAAAAAAAAGAGATAGTACATTGACTTGTTCCAGATATAAAATACATAGAAACAAGCGGTGAAATGTCATCCCTCCTCCCTGCACCAATCTTCTTTTTACTCAGCCCCCTGGGAGATTATTATGATTTGTCTGTGTGTGTAATTCTAAACCTACATCATGCCTTCATACACAAATATAAAGGCAACGAGGAATGGTTTTATTTTTAAATCTCTGGCATCAACTCTTCTCATATGTGTTAAAGAAAATGGGCTTTCAGATCTCCACAAAGACCATTACATCAAATAGAATTTACCTAACATTTGTTATTCCATTATATTTAATAGATAATTGAACATTCTTTAAACTGTGACTACGACCCAACTTCCCTGGAAATTTCCCTGAAAATAATTAAATGCAGGAAAATGTCTAGGGTAGCAAGGTAGTAGTCATAGTTTGTAGATGCTAAATTAATTTCTAAATAAAATGCTAGGCATAGAAGCTAGAATTTATGACACATCACATAAGGGTGTTATGGCTAGAGGGGCATATTAATTGACTGCATCTCAGACTTTTGTGGACCTGTTTGAAATTTCTTAAACTTGAACTTGTACGTGAACAATTGATGATGTGTTCCTCAGTAGAGCCCTGGCCTATATTTGGCTGATGATACTGAGATTCTTCCTCATCTCTTCCCACAGACATGGGTAATTTGATTCCTGTGTATTTCATCTGGCACAATCAACATGTATAGTTGCCCTTCATATTGTTTTAAAAAAAAAAGGTGTTTACAATGAAGAAGTTATTGGTCTTGCGAAATTCTATTGCTTAGTCTTGTTTGTCATAAAGACCGTATTTTCCAATTATTGTTCATTGTTAGTTTCCAACGTTTGCATTTCAATTACCCATAATTATTAATGCATCTTGATTACATGTTTGATCAATTTCAAACAGAAATTGATAGAACTCTTCAATTTCTTCTTCTTGACTAGCTTTAATGGTTAGTGTGTACATTTGAATAATAGTTTTATTAACCGGACTTCCTTGTACGTGGATAAATATTATTTTTCCACTGACAACATTGTTTCAAGATAGCTCTTGAAATGTCTTTCTGATGAGGAATGGGACACTGTTCCTCTTGGGTCTGTCATTCCCAGCACAGTAAACCAGATGGTTGTCTGACACAAACTGGACAGTACCAGTCCATTTCTACTCATTCATACCTAATATATCAATCTTTACCTGTTCCATTTTATTTTTGAGGTCTTCTAATGAATTTCCCTAGATTCATTTTCATACACTCCACATTCCAATTATTAATGGATATTTGTAGCTCTTTGTGTTAGGCAGGGTTCTCTAGAGAAACAAAATCAGGACACTTAAGATTATACACTATAGATAGATAGATTGATTTATACAATATGCAGGAATATAACAGCTAATTATTCCACACAGCAGCACAGAGGGCTCAGTTCAACTCACTTCCATGGAGCTGTTAAAATACTGGAAGTCCTTCTGCTCCTGAGGGCTGCTGAGTCCAAGGTCAAGGAAGCAGACAGCTGAGTCTGCCCTGGGGCAATGCAGGCAGAGTCCGCCCACAGGCAGAAAACAGCAGGGTGGGTCACCAACAGTCAGCAACTCAGGAGCTTAGCGAAGCAGGTCCAGATGGGACATCATGGGAAATCGAACTCAAGCAATGCAAGATGACAGGATCCACCACCCTCAAGCTCAAGTGATATACATACCAGTTGTGTGGAAAAGCAGATCTCAAAGGAACCTCAAGCTCTAGTGACAGGATCCATGGGTTGGCTTGTCTCACAGGTAGCATAGCTCACAAGTTGAGACAAAGAACTAGCTAAAGAAGCCCCACACTGGTCAGATCACCAGAGAGCAAGAGAGCGAAGGGTAGGCCTTGCCAAGCCATTTATCTCTTTGCCCTCCAATCAAACTGCGACCTGATTAATCCCACATGTTCCTATTGGCCAGGTTGTCACAATAAACCTACATACCACACTCTTTCTTCTCACTTTGCTTCCTGCCCTATCATCAAACAAAAGCCCTGGAAGTTTTACTGCACATCATTACGGTTAAGCCTGCTTTGAGGAGGCAACTCTGTGCCAGTTGTATTTTAATTGCCTTCCAACTTTAGAAGAAGCTTTGGTGATCTAGTGATTATGTGTTGGGCTACTAACTTCAAGGTCAGCAGTTTAAAACCATCAGGCACTCCACAGAGAAAGGCTTTCTGCCTCCATAGTTTCACTCTTGGAAATCCACAGGGGCAGTTCTATTCTACCCTATAGGGCTGCCATGAGTCAGAACTGACTCAAGGGCAGTGTTTGGTCTGAGTTTATCGGGGGAGTTAGGAGCCCCAGCGTCGTGGTTACATGTTGAGCTGTGATCGCCAACAGCAGCAGTTCAGAAACCACCAGCTGGTCGGCAGGAGAAAGACTGTACAGAGTTACAGTCTTGGAAACCCACAAGGGCAGCTCTAACCTGTTCTATAGGGTCACTATGAGTCAGCATTGACTGCATGGAAGTGAGTGAGTGAGTGATTAGGAGAGTTAATAGATTACCAACATTCAGGATCAGAAAACAGTAAGGATATAGTCATTGCCCCACAAAAACACCTCTCTTCAACCAGCAACCAAGACTCTCTTAAATCCTCCGGCTCCCAGCCGTGTGGTCCTTTGGCCTCTGTCTTCCTGGACCAAGAAGCCTGACTGTCTCACAGTCCCATAGTTTCCATTTCACAGTCTCCATTGCCTCTGGTCTCGCCTTCTGCCACATCAGACAGGGGTCTGGAACATGCTCTTCTGATGATCCTGGCCTTTCTATCTCTACCCCTGCTTCAAAAGGCTCATCCTTATAGCCTGAGGTGGGTGGGGTAGTAACTAAAACCGAACAATTCTCTCTATTTGTGTTATGCAAGTCCAATTTGCACGGTCTTGCCCAATCGTTTGGTGGGAATGACAGAGACATAGATAGAAGAGTCATGTTAAGACATTTCACTCCACCATAGTTAGACATTAGACTGCCAGCCATAATAAGTTAAGCAGCTCAGTCCCACCAGCCATTCAGAGGGAGAAAAAAGAAGTTGTCTGCTGAAGTAAAGATTTATAGTTTCGGAAGCCCAAATAGAGTCACTGTGGGTTGGAACAGGAGCCCTGGTGGTACTAGTACTCATTGGGTTTCTCACTGCAAGGTCAACAGTTTGAAACCACCAGCTACTCCACAGGGGACAGAGGAGACTTTTTACTACTGTGAGGACTTCCAGTCTCAGAAATCCAAAGGGCAGTTCTACTTTGTCCTATAGGGTCTTTATGAATCGGAATCGACTTGATGATAGTGGCTTTGGTTTGCATGAGAAGGAGTTGACTCAGTGGGGGTGGAGTTGGACTTCATCAGTGATTTCTATTATAAGCTTGGTGTCAAACATGTTTCCATTTAGTCACCTGCAATTTTATTTGTGTTCATTTAAAGTAAATGTAGTGTTTGCTCAACTTTTAAGAGGTATTTCCTCTGTAAAACTGTATCATCTTTAGTACCTGCTGGTCGGAATAATCAGTTTGAATTTGCTGACAATGTTTATTCGTGTCTGCTCTTGTCTGACTAAGCACACGTGTGTACATGAGTGAGTGTATGTGTGTGTACGGATGAATAAATGGACCCGCTGGTACATGGGAATCTTATTCTGAGTTGATGTTGCAGTTATCCATATGTTGACGTACATGGCTACCCCCAGACACTTCCTTATTCTCTCAGGAGCGTAATCCAGCCTCTTTCAGATGCAACATCGACTGCTCTTTGATTCACAGTTTTTACCGTCTCATCCGTGCGTATTCCTTAACTATGTCCCCTGGGACCGATTGTGGATTGTGGACTCTATTTGTTCACACTATGGTCAATGACCTGCCATTACTTTATTCTAACTTTACTTTGTCCTTTTTTTTGTTCTCTGACACAAAGTGCTGGTGGTGGAATGAAGAAATAAAAGATGAACTATTTTATTGTTAATCTTTTGTCTCTCCACAGAGTGGCACTCTTCTGCTGGAATCTATTCAGCTTGATCATATTTTTATACTACCTTTAAATACTTTGAAAAGCAAATGATATTTAAGAATTTAATGTCATTGTTTTTATTCTTAGCCAAATAGTAGATCATTTACTAATTCTAATGTTATTAAATAGTAGTGTGGTGATGTTACTGTTTTAAAAAAGACAATTTATTCATTTAATCATAATAGTGGAAGTAACAAAATTATACTACAGAAAATTGATAAAATAAGATCACCATAATCCTGTCATCATAATTCAACCATTAAAATAATTTCTTTCTACTATGATTTTCTGGGCATATTTTTGCAGAGCTTTAGTAAGAGTGTAATATTATTTGATAGCCTCTCCTCTCCCTTAAAATAATTGTATATTTCTATATATTCTTCATAAACATAATTAAAATGCAAGCAAAGTATAAAGAACGTTTGAACTAATCTAATTCAGCTACCTTTTAGACCTTTAGCATCGTGGCCTCACCTTTGACTCACTTAGTTCAGCATTCAAAGGTCCCAGGTGGGTCAAAAATACGAACTCACGAAACAACCCCCCCAAAAACCCTTTGCCTTTTTTATCTATCCAGGTCCTTTTATTTTGATCCCCTTCCGAGCGGTCAGCAGTGGTAACCTGGCACCGTCAAGTTCTTTGGGTCATAGGGTTGTGGAGGCCCTGAGTCGCGTGGTTCATTAGTTCTTTGGACCAATTGCTTCCTTGCATCTTTGATTTTCCTCACTCTTCTTTGTTCTGGACAGAGAAAGAACAGTGGCTGCCTCCTGGGCAGCTGCTCAAGACAGTAGTCACCATTCAGCAACATCGAACATGGTCTTTATGCACCATGTTATGCTGATTAACCTTGATGTCCCCTGAAGCTATCCTCC